ATGGGGGACTTTACTCACCCTGATATCTACTGGGAGGGCAACACAGCAGTGCACAGACAATCCAGGAAGTTTCTGAACAGTACTGGGGACAACCCCCTGGTGCAAGGGCTGGAGCGTCCAACTAGGAGCCAGGCTCTTCATGACCTGCTGCTCACAAACAGGGAAGAATTGGTGGGGAATGCAGTAGTGGATGGAAACCTGGGCAACAGTGACCACGAGATGATTGAGTTGAGGATCCTGAGGAAAGGAAGGATGGAGAGCAGCAGAATAAGGACTCTGGACTTCAGAAAAGCAGATTTAGACTCACTCAGGGAACTCATATGCAGGATCCTCTGGGAAGCCAGACTGATGGGAAGAGGAGTCCAGGAGAGCTGGCTGCACTTCAAAGAAGCCTTATTGAGAATGCAGGAACAAACCATCCCGATGCACAGGAAGACTAGCAAGCATGGCAGAAGACCAGCTTGGCTTAGCAGGGAACTCTTCAGTAAACTAAATCACAAAAAGGAAGCTTTTAAGAAGTGGAAACTTGGACAAACAACTAGGGACCAGTATAAGAGCGTTGCTCAGGCATGCAGGGATGAAGTCAGGAAGAAACCTTTTGGAACCTGGTTACACTATTTTCCTCCATCAGAAAGAAATCATGTAGACATACGTACAGAACAGGGGGCTGTACCCTAGAAACCAGTGATCCTGAAAAAGATCTAGGGGTCCTAGTGGAGAAGCCATCCCAGACAAGCTCCCAGCACAATGCCTTGGCAACAACAGCTAACCTGATCCCTTAGATATTTTGAAGAGGTGTAGTGAGTAAGGATTACCTTCTCTTTTACTTCCGAGTAAGGCATTGGCGAGACTGCTTCTGGAGCAGTGAATCTGGTGTCTACCTTTTAAAGATGCCGAAAACATTAGGAAGGGGACAAACCATCACAAACAAGTATTTGGGGACTGGAGAAAATCTCTCACTGTGACAATCCTGAAGAAGCTAGTCTGGTTAGGCTAGCTAGCCACTAGGGTAATTAGCCACTGGGACATACTATGAATGGAAATGGTAGAGCAGTGTCCTCAGACCAAGACCAGAGGCCACTCTAGAAGACGTGCTTTAGCAAAACAAAATGTTGTTATCAGGACAGGGTAAAACCTGGGTGAAATTATGTGGTCGCAGAATCATTAAAAAAATAGGGTTGAAAGAGACCTCAGGAGATTTCATAGATATTAGGGGCTAGAAGAGACCTTGCAAAATCATCAAGTCCAGCCCCCCTGCCATAGGCAGGAAGTCTTTTGCGGTCAAATGATCCCAGCAAGATAAGCTTCCAAACATTTTTTGAATGAGTGCAGAGCAGGTGCTTGCACCACCTCTGGGGCAGTCTGTCCCAGACCCTGGACACTTGGACTGTAAGGAAGTTTTTCCTTATGTCCAGTTTAAAGCAGCCTTCCAGAAGTTTGTGGCTGTTAAACGTTGTTTCTCCTTGGGGGGCCCTGATGAACAACTCTTCTCCCAGATCCTGGTGCACATCCCTTACATACTTATAGGCTGCCACCAAGCCCCTCCTGAGCCTTCTCTTCTCTATGTCCCTCAGCCTCTCCTCGTAAGGCTTGCTCTCTTGGCCTTTGATCATGCAGGTGGCTCTCCTTTGGACTCTCTCAAGCTTATTCACATCCCTCCCGAAGTGGGGGGCCCAAAACTGGATGCAACAAGGTGTCAGGCAATGAAACAAAAACATAAAATGCAAAACAAAGCTGTGCTTGTTCTTCCCACAGTGTCAGTCATTGCCACAGGATGTTGCTGAGGTCAAGAAGCCAGCCAGTTTCAAAGAGAAATCAGTCACAGACCCCTTTTCATGGTCATGCCCACAGCAGCTATGTGTTTGGCTTTGGTGTCTAGCAACACAGATAGGAAACTTTTGCCATTAACCAGCAGAATTTGTTTTGTGCCAGAACCATGTATCGGCTGATCATTAACCATTTCTTCAGGCTGCATTTGTACACAGCAGTGTGGATTGACACTTATTTGACCAGCCATCAGTGTCACCTGGGAGTTGAGAGCAACAACAGAAAAGGCACTTAGTTGATTGATCCAATGTTTCCTGCGACCATAGCAGCTGGTTACCTGGTCTGCTGTTCAGATCCGGCTGCAGCCTCAGTCCCTCTTCTAGGTGGACAGCTGACAGTCCGGTGCTTGGCTCTTTAGACCAAAGTAATACAATTCAGCCTTCTTTTGGAGTCAGGAAAGGTCAAACTAAGTCTTTTGTCAGCTCTCCTTGGGGCTCAATCCTTCCCATGCCGTATGGGTTTCCTCGTTCCATATTTAGGAGATGCTACTGTGCTTCTGCCTCCTGAATTCAGTCTGCCCTGATCCCAAAGGCATCCTGATTTTACAGGCCTGTTTCCTAAGTCACCAATTACTATCCAGAGTTTCCTTCAACTCCAGCCTACACACCCTTCCCCAAAATCTTCCTACAGGCCAGCTCTAGACTTCTTTGGGTCTCTCCTGGATTCTTACATACTAGACTTCCAAGTTCTTTCCCTGGTTCTCTTTCATCAGCTCTGTGCCCTGCAAAGCATACATTGCCCAGCAAGTCCGCGTCTCACGCGGCTGGAGGAAATCAAGCTCATCTCAGACTTGAAACCTGACCTCCTTAAGGCCTAGCTCAACCTGTGACTGCCTGGAACTGCTGGCCTACTATACAAGGTCTCCCCTTTCAGGAAAACTCACTGCCTTTGCCCAGTACAACTTAATAGAGATTTTTCCTGTCTTGTTGCAATTTAATGCAATACATAAAAGTAGAGAGTTCATTGTTTAAAAAGCTCTCTTGAAGCAGAAACTATGTTTTTTTTTATTATGATGCAATTCAAGAGAACACACCGTCTGAAGTGAGTTCATAAACTGCAATTCCTTCAACTCCCTGACTTATCTGGGATTATATTAAACCCTGTAAATTTAAAGTACACACATTTTTGTTTCAACACCGGTTTTTGTTTGCCCATGACTTTACCATTTTTATTACACAGCTGTTCAACTACTTAGGTTTTTTTTTTTTATTCACCTATTCATAAAAATGCAAGTTAGTGTGGATGGCTACTGTTGCGGGCATTTCCCTGTGCAGTTGTTCAGGATACAAGATTGACCCTAATTTACGTACCTAAGAAGGGTCCAAGTAGTGTTTCAGTATGAAACTAACTGCATGAAAGGGATTACGTGGATTCAGCCGCCCACAACAGTAGGAGACTGGACTCTATACAGGGCCATGAGGGGACTTCTATTTAAATTACAATATATGTTTGAGAAGGGAGGCACATAACCTCATTTTATGAAACTAGAGAAACTAAGGCACAGACAGATTCACAGAAGTTTAGGGCTGGAAGGGACGAATGAACTGACTTGCTTAAAGTTGCCATTTCAGATCTGGGGTTAGACGGCTGGCTTCCAGTCTGCTGCTCAGAGCATGCCTCAGCTGTTCAGATCATTAAAATAAGTATTTAATTTGTGTTAAAAAAGAAAAAAAAAAAAAGTATTTTTTCCTTTTCTCAGCCCATCCCTTGCTTTCTGCACCCACACCCTTTCTTCTTTTGTTCTCATTTCTTCCCAGCTCTCCTTTTCCTTAAGGATTAACAAGCCACTGGGGTCACCACACTTCTCTTTCCCTGCAGTTTTATAGTTTCGACAGGAGTGCTTTAATATGGAAAGATTAGATTTTAAGTGATTCCAGTTGTTCTACTGACCTTTGCTATCACTTTGCATCTTTAAGTCCATTGAACTTCACTTATGTGCAGTGCTCTACTGGAAAGAAACAAATTATACTGGAATGAAGAGTATCAGATTTTCAAGCAAGTCTGCTCTGTGACCCACCATGGCTCTACCATTTCACACTATCACCCTCTTTACACATTTTCCGGTGGTATTGCATATACTGGGTTTGCTGGCTTCTCATGGATCATATTTTTGCACCTTAAGAAAAACAGTTTACTTTGCAGGGAACACTGAGTATGCTCAGTGCATGCAAATTCCCTTTATGGCAGAAAGGATCTTGGAACTGAAGCACCATGCCCGGGATCTATTCAAGAACTAATAGGTACTTGTTTCAGTACCAGTTGCTCTTTTAAGGAGAACTTTGTTTTTGCACTTTTGCCTACGTGGTGAGCTTCATTTTCTTCCGTAGCCTGGCTCTTCTTGGTATGCATCATGGTACAAGAGCAATGCAATTCAATCTCTTTTGTATACAATATATTTTTCTCTACTCATATTCCAGTCCCTTCCCACTCTGCACCCCTCCAGACCCTATTAAACTAGTAACACCATATCCCCCCACTGCCTGCCAAATTACAAGAGAGACATCTGCTTCCTGTCGGTTGCCCCATACCATTTTATTTTGTATGGGCATTTTGGAGGTCTCCTCTGGCCAGCCATTTGAAGCCCACTTCTCTTTATGATTATAGTTTCTGACACTCAACTCAGACTGAATTTCACAACAGTCCTTCCTTTCCCTTTGTAATACATCTCCCAATGTGGTCTCTCCCTCCTCCCCATACTACCCAGGCTGCATTAAATGTTCTCTAGCAGAGGGAACTGGACTCTCCATTGCAATGCTGTGGCTCTGTTGCAGAAAGTGAAACAGTCAACTTCATTTAAGCAGCCTACCAGTTTCCTAACTCCTGAATTACCACAAGTAATTCTTACCATGCCTATTTCCTCTTAATTTAAAAGCTTTCCCAAACTAATGCTTCTCATTTGGGGAGCTCTCTTTTCATTACAGCAGCAGCACTGCAATAGTTGCAGGTTGCAGCAGTCAACAATGGATATAGTTTTACATGAAAAGTGATGAAAATAACCTCCGGTATGGGGGAATACTAGACATATCTGGAGATAAGATTTAAAGAAGTGTTTGCTGACTGAATTTACTGACACATCCAAAAGTTTTTCCCTTTCCCATGTTGAATTGAGGCACCATGCTAAGTCTGCCAAAAGCTAAACATGCCAACCAATAAAGTTCATAAACACACAAAAATGCAAAGCAAAATGTCACTTTATTTAATTCAAGGACTAGTTTCCTTCTAGTATTGCTGAAGGGATCACCTCCTGGGGAATTGATCATTACAAAGTCCCTGTCTAAAAGTTCAAGTGCTCTTGTTGTACATTCTTTTGAACCACAGAAAACATAATGACCAAGAAGGTGGGCAGCTACTTGCAGTTTTATCCCACCTCAGTTAGCATTGCTTCAGGCTAGAAAACAATTCAAGTAGTAAAATCATGGAAAATGTTAACCTTTAAGGTCACTACTACATTTTGATCAAAAAGGCTTGAATGTATGAAAAATCCATTTTTTTTTTGTTTTTTTTTGTTTTTTTACACGTTATGAAGTTTTATAACCACACACTGTAGAAGGAGGCAGTTAAGTATTTTGGACCAATTCTCAACCAGATATTTAAGAGTTCAGATCACCTGATGGTTTATTACCAATTTAATTATGTAATTCATGTCTCAAGCTTTTTTTTTCTTTTTTCTTTTTCTTTTTTTTTTTTTAAAAACAAAAAGGAACATACACCTGCCCCAGAATCACTGTAGATAGATTGTTTTATAGAGTGCCCTTCTGAAAATTCATTTCAAAATAGAGATGCTTTCTCCAGAACTGTAAAAGCCATAAAAATGCAAAATATCTTTTAGGAAATTTTTAATCAAAATTACTCCTTAATGTTCAAAATACATTTAACTACCTACTCTTTGTTGTTGTTGTTGTCGTCGTCATCCACATACTGATCAACAGACTAAACAGGTAACAATGGTTCAATTTTATTCTCCCCCCACCTGAAACATTTCTTCTAACACAGGCCCGAGATAGGCAATACAGAGATTCAGGGACATGGATTATGCATGGCAAGTGTAATCCACTATCATTTTAATTTAGAACAACTCTGATTCTAGCACACAACTTTTGAGTCTTAGTTGTTTTCAATCTGCTCTAGATCCAAGTCCCCACAGTCCAGAGGAAAGATCCCCTCTTCAGTGCTCTCACAATCACTCGTGTCCTCATCACTTTCACATACCGCAGCTGCTTTCTTATAATCCCTTGTGTTGAAGCCAACTTGGCATGGCCCATGATGCCTTACTTCATCCAGCTTCTCTTTCATTGGACTGGAACCAGGGGTGATGATGTTCATAAGGTCATTTGAGTCACATGGGGATGACACTATTGTCTTCATTTGCGTGTCATCATCATCATCATCATCATCATCTTCATAATCAAGAGAGCAAAGACTCTTTGAATTTTTTAAAGTCTGTAATTAAAAAGATACAGCTACATTAATCAAGAGCACTGTTAAAAGTTTACTATATCCATATGAATGCCCAATGCCAGCAGCTCCTCAAGAATTTTAAGAGTGAGTTTTCCAATGTACACCATGATCTTAACCCACATTTGGCACGTGAAAGGCCTTTTGGGCAGCGCTCCACATTCAGAGATGCTAGCTCTCCCAAAAAGGCTTCATTACGTACCTGGAGATACACTAAGGTAGGAACGACTTGCCCAAGACCATGTCAGTCATTGGCAGACTGGGTTTCTAAGCTCAGTAGTGTCTACATCCCATCCCCGTAGTCCTTCCACCAGGTCAGGTCACTTCCCAGGTTTATGTACCTCAAGCCCACCACAGTTTTGAGAAAGATCCAGATAAACTTAGTTTCTCTCTCAACCCTCAACATGAGCAAGATTTGGGAATTTTATAGCACTGCTAGGATCAAAGTGAGTGAAGCGCAGGAGAAGGACAGAAGTGCCTCACCGATGGCAACAGTTATGGAGGAGCTTACTGCAAGTGTTGCACAATGAAGATCACTGACAAATTTGATAGGCTGTCACAAGAACATGCCAAGTCAGACTGCAACACAGAACGAGTCTGCACAGGCACGCTGCTGACCAGGAGTTCCTTTTAGAAAAAAAATCCAATCAATCTAAAGCTCCTTGAAGATGGAGAACCCACAACCCGTTACATTGTTCCAAGGATTTATTCTTCTTACTTTAAAAATGTGCACCCTATTTAGTAGTCTGAATTTGCCATCTTCTGCCTTCCAGCCATTAAATCAGGTTATAACTTTTTCTGGTAGATGGAGAAGCCCTCTATTATTAAAACTTCTTTTCCCACATAGATCCATATGCAAACAGGCATCTGATCAATCTGTGCATAAAAACACTCTCTATACCCCTTCTCTTCAATACAGTTACTGGCACATAAATGAACCTACGCTACACATATTGACTAGATGAACATTGTATTTTTGTCCTGAATATGAATGAGGACCATAAGATTTGTTCAGATTTAAACAAATTAAAAGCAAAACCAGTGATTCTCAATAAAGCAGCAAAGACAGTGTTAGCAGGTACTCAAAGCCTAATTGTAGCTTATAACTTTGAAATGAAGAAAACATTTCCTGCTATCTGTCTACAGACAGAGGAAGAAAGCATTTGCTTTGTAGTCCTTTAAGCCTTACGGTAGATACCGATCACTGCTCCGGTCCAAAGAAACAAAACTTTAAAAGTTATTTATGTTTTTCGAAAGGGATTCTTGAATCCCCCAAACTGTTCTTTATTCAAGTTACTACTAGAGATTAATCAAAAACTATGCACAGCTGCCTTTCTGGAAGGTTTGTGTACATAAACGGAAAATTGCCCGTTAGCTATACTGTGCTGAAACCACTTGAATGGGAACTTTTAGCTGGCTTCAACACAACAGTGAGTGCATTCAACTAGTTCTTTGTTCACCCACTTGTCACAACCGCACCAAACTAAAAATAGGTGGATTTATTATCTCAGCACACAATCCCACCACTTTTCAGAAAGCAAAAGGTAGAAGCTGAAATGCATTCAAGCCCTCCATCTGAAGCTTTACATGTTATACCAGTACAGTACCACACCTTTCAAGCACAATCAAGCTCAGTGGGGAGCCAGTGAGTACTTGCTCAATGGTCCTCGTTTTATAAAGGGTGCCGGACCAGCAAAACAAAAGAATCCCCGGTTGGCAATGGATGGAACTCAATCAGCTAAAAGTATTCTTTTGTGTAACAGGAAAAAGAAAAGAAACTCTGAGCTTTAAAAGAAGTGGGGTGATAAAATGTCTGAATATTAAAACTTTGTACAGGAAACAATAGCGGGCAATGAAATAAAAGAAATCTCTCTAGACCCTCGCTTTCAAAGCGAACAAGCAACCAAGTAAGGCTCACAGCAACTTGAAAGCAAGCTAATGTGTGTATTCTTTACCAAACCTTTGGCTCAGAAACTCACAATAAGTCACTATACAAATTTTGAAGCATAATAAAAAGGGGAGGCTTCTTTAAAAAAAGAAAAAAAAAAAAAAAAAAAAAAAAGGGAAAAAAGGGTAAAGAATTATTTTACGAGTGCACTTCGTCACAGCAGTTAATAGAAAATGTTATTTAGGTTGGTTAAAAACCCTATTCTGTACTAGAAGTTCATTACAGTCATCTTTCTAACAAACTAACAGGCATATACAATTAAGATCTGCGCCTTTCAGACTCCATTTGGCATGCTCATCCTGTCTCGCTACCTAACAATTTTAAATCTCAGGTTTGTCAGTATTTCATATTCTTTCCTAAAAACCCAACTCCTGGAATCAAGTGGAAACACTACTTTAGTAAAAAAAAAACAGTGCATTTACAGCATAAAATACACAATCCAGCCACCATGAAGTTATGACACATGCCAGAACATGGATGCGGTATCTCTTTAAAAATAAGCTTAAGGAGAAGCAGGAAAATGGACTACAGTGGTAACTAAGGTATTTATTAGGAACGTGAGACTGAAAGGTACCATTTGCATCACCGAGACTCCTGCAAATCACAGACAACCATGCTATTAATGTAAGAGGTTAGTATCACTCAGGCTGAGGCCCCCCCATGACAGATACTAAACTGGACACGCACACTAAATTACAGTTCCTCTCCAAGAAAGCTTATGGAAATTATTGGAAAATTTGGTCACCCTTCATCACCGCATCTTTCAATGGAAGCATAGTAAACAAAGCAATTGGACACAAAGCCGTCTTCATTTAACGGTACTGAAAGAAAGGAGTACAGAAGAAAAAGTGTTATGTTCATGGATAGCTGGATTCTCTACTTTTACACCTGCATATCTACAGAAGTCTATGGAGCTGCCTAAACTGGCATAAAATTCGCAAAAGAGTAATAAGACATTTCAGGTCTGACTGGCACCTGATATCATCATCATTCATGAAGGTTTCATAAAATACTTGACATTGTGTAAGACGAGCAATCTGGGCCCTTAAAAGTCTACAAGCAAAATGACAGACACTCAGAAAGTGCAGAAAATAAGGAGAAGGAAAGTAACCCTTTGGGAGTCCTTGCCATACTGCATATTTAGGATCCTATTACATTGCTGCTTTCGTATTTGCCTTTCCCAGTTTAAGCTGGTAGGAAAGATTCACTTCAGTCTCAAAATCTGAAAGCAGACTCATTGGGTACATCTACCATATTAGATGCTTTACTGCACATTACACTAATTTAATGCGCATAACATCACATCAGATCAAGCATTGTAAAGTCAAAAGTGATGTCAGAAAGTTGAAATAGGGTGTCAATTTATAAACGTTGCAACTGCAAAACATCGCAACTTGAAACATTGCAAGTCGAGGACTGCCTGTAGTCTAATGCATCATTTGCCAGCACCCATATATACAGGTACTAGAAAAACGGTGTATTAACTAAGGCACGGTAGCCCATGTAGACCCTGCCTGCCTGGGAGCAAATAGCTCCCATTCAGTTCAGGCAGCAGAGAGGCCACAACTGTTTCCTGGCTACGCCGTGACCTCTGCAGGGCAGCTACCCTGGAGCCAGGACCTCTCACTGGCTCAGACCTCTATGCAGCTGGGATGGAGCTTCCCTGGAACTGGGACAGCTCCGACAGCCCAGGCCTGACCCCCACCCCCTTGCAACCCTGGAGCTCCATCTGGACTGAACTGCTCCCAACGGGTGCACATTCATGTGTGCACCCAGGCACAGTTTAACATGCCTGAATTTTCTGTGCAGAAAAAATTCAGTTGTATTAACTGCACATGTAGATGTGCCCATTGCGTGTAAAATTATAAAACAATTTGAAACTACTACTTCAGTTTGTAAACTGGAATTTGCTCATTGCTTAGTCCATAACAAGTACCAATCCCTTGTTAAAGAGAAGCCATTAAATCAAAACTGATGAGTGGAATTAGCTACGTAGTAACCGTTATGTATAAAAAGTGGAGGGAGACTCAAGGGAAATCTTTATGAAATTCCTGACCCTTCAATGGATCCATTTCACCAAGAAGTAAAAGGCCACTAGAACTTGGGCACTACCCTTAATGTCCCTATATTTTTAACCACAGCATTAATGGTTTTCCTGTTTCCTGGGTGTACTATTTGAGTTATTATTCTACCCCACACACTAGTATGAAGGAACACTTTAAACAGATACAGTACTATTAATTTTATAGAATATAATACATGAACTGTGTACTAAAAGGAAACACCATCTTCACCAATTATGCACTTAATTCTTCAAATTATAAATCCTTTTCACATTTTAGTCTTATGGTTTGGTCTCTTTGTACAATTTTCACATTTGAAAAAAGTAACCTTTTGTTTGGGTAATGTACCAAAAGGCGAAGACCTCTGTTTAAATCAGCACAAGCTTCCACACAACCGTACCAACGTGGCTCTGTCCTGAACCAGTAGTGCTAGTCATCCTTTTGCATGCATGGTACAAGCTCTGCAGGTAGTAGTGTTTATGTAGACACTCGGACTAAAACAGAATAACGTCGACATTTCCAGAATCCATAGAGCAAGCTCTTATGCCAACAGGCTTTGGTCCCCCGTCTCCCAGTCTGAGATAGATTTATACAAGAAGGCCTTCAAGGTGAAAGGTTTTGCATTCAATTATTATCCAGGAGGCCAAGTTCTGTTCCATATTTTCTTTTATAATTTTTCATACCTTTTCACCTCATACCATAATATAAATACAAACAATTGCTCATTAGCCCCATATAGCTATAGTTTCTCTCTTTTGTGTTAAAAGGTATAATTAATAATAGAGAAAAATAAACTATTATGTTAAGACATAATGAACCTGAAAAAACACAACACACCTTTTAATTATAATCACTTCCTGCTAGAGTTCCTCACAGACTCCTAATGGTGCTAAAAAACTAACAACAAAGAAGTTAATTAGCATACTGAAGAATACATTTTACCCAGATACACTCTACTAATTCATAATACAGTA